GCTGATGGAAAGGAGAGGAAGGGATAAGGTTGAATAACTCTTCAGAGTTGCAGTGCCACAGCGTCCGACACTATGAGACATAAGTTGATAAGTCTCATGTGCCTGCAATTTCACCAGCACCCTTAACCCTTCAAAACCTGAACACAGTAATGCTGATATTACTGCTTAACAGCAGAAATAGGTAAGGTGAAAGTACTTCCCTGGACGAACTCTTAACTACTAAACTACTGTTTTTTGCAATAAGTTTATTTAATCTATTTCTGCCGCCAAGCAGTAATGTGAACATTATTGCGTTCCAGTTTTGAAGAGTAAGAGTTATGTCTCAAGATGTGCAGAGGCAGCGCCCCTCAGATCTTTGCGATTTAAAGCTCCGAGTGGCATTGCAACTGTTTTGGACAGGCGTGTCGCTTACCATCAGGCGCATGACTTGTTCGTCTCATCGCTTGGTATCGCAAAAATGTTATCAATATTTTCTGCATATAAAAATGCTTGTTTTGTGTTTTTAAGCCGCTTCTTTGAGTAGTAAATACACGTTCATTATTAGATGCTTTGTATTGATTATATTTCTTTTAATTCAAACCTTTATATATATCAATTTCACTTCATAGATTGTCGTATAATATCATATCAAAGGGTCATTAACTGATTTAGGAACGTTATTTGTCTATATTAAGAATGAGAATGGTGCCAATACGCTGCCTTGAGGCACTCCCTGATTTATTTATTTTTTGTTTATTTATTGCTTTCGTTGGTGTTTAGACACTCACACACAATTTTAATCACAAGATATACTTTTTAATGAGTGTTGATTGCGCTTTATCACATATCACCTTTTTGAAATTCATCTGTCATTGTGGTTGAAAAACCAGACTCTACAACTGTCTCTTCTAAGTTATTTAAATTTTGCAAGTTGTCTTTTTCTTGTTAGCGAAGTCATAAGTTGTGTTTTGTGATAAACACACAATGTTGTGTGAGTGTTGTATGTGACTTAGTCATAGTTTAATAAAAATAATAAGATGTGCCAGACAACCCACACAAGTTGCCTGGTTTCAAACTAGGGAATTCCCTGTATTATGACTACCAGAGCAGACCAGAGTGGTTTTGAAGGGTAAGGGTGCTGGTGAAATTACAGACACATGGGTCTTGTCAACTTATGTCTCGGAATGACGGGCGCAGCGGCAGTGCGCCTCAGATCTTTGCGATTGAAAGCTCTGAGTGGCACTGCAACAGTTAGGACAGGCGTGAAGTTTACCATCAGGCGCACGACTTGTTCGTCCCGTCACTTGATACAATAACAAAATGAGGAAAAAAGTATTTTAAATTGACTTTGGTGGAATAAAGACCGTTGACTTTATTGCGATCAATCTTTGCGAGACATTGCGTAGGATATCCTTTTAATTTTTGATGTAATGTAAATACTTATATCTTATTTACATCAAACCATTTTCTCTTTATATGTTACTCAAATTCTTGTGATTTAAAATAAACTAGTTTTCTCGGTTTTTGGGGTACTGTAACTTATTATTTTTAATTAATCGCTTATTCTATGTATAACTGTGCACTTTAAATATATAATTCCATTTTTCTTTGATTTAAATTGTACAGTTTTACGTAGAATGAGCGATTAATTAAAAATAATAAGTTACATTGAGTCGCTGGAACAACATATTTTTGATTCCTTGCAACTTACAATATCTTATTTTAAAAAATCAATTTTTTCACTAACTTTCATAATTTTATATGTACCTGCTAAATTAAAAAAGTCGGAATCATAAATTTCAAAAAGCATACGGTTTGCCGCGGAATGAGGTGGTTTACACAGGTGAATACAAACTTTTTTGAGATACAGGTTTTCCTAGTTCAAGAACCAGCCTCTACAGATTATATTTCGATACTATGTAGAGTATTTGTTTTTATATGCACTGTTCGGGAAGACAACAAAATGAAACCATATATAATCGTGCATTGACAACAAAAAACAAATTAAATATGAAAAGTCCATCAAATTATTATTCACTTTTTCTCCAGTCGACCGTTGAACGCTTTTTATCTAAGTAGATATCCAAAGATTGGGTAGTTCTTTATTGTTTTTAGTTAGTATCATTCGCTAGTCGATATCTGTCATTCATGTCATATTTGGAATCTGTGTTATGGAAAATAATTATCTTATAAAAATAATTAATGAGTGGAAGTTTACAACTCTTCGTCTATACATTTTAATCAATAATGTATGCACCAGCAAAAAGCGTAGGTCTGTGGAGTATTAGTGTCTTTTATTTCTATAAAATGACATTGTACTGTCTTATTACAATAAGAAAATCGATTGATGCTGTTGAATCTGCGGCTCGATCAGGGCTGCCCTTATCGTCATGAGTTTTATAGAATAGTCAGTCTAAATTTGAATGACTGTCAGCCTGGTCAATTTGTTGGTGTAGCCTGCTGGCCATCTATGGCGGCTGGATGCGACAAATGTGTAGTATAGGTAGACTATATTTAGTCTAACTGCAACATGTAATGCGTATTGCTTGGGTAGTAATAATATGCGTCTTATAAAAATGACGGACCGACTAGGAGTCTCTAGAAGTGAGGTTACCTTGCCCGAAGTCTTGGCATAACCATACAAAAATAAATGCCGCTAGTATTTTTTTAAATTGAATTTTGGTAAGTGAAATAAACGTTGGATGCTATTTATATTAAAAAAGCATTGTACCGCGATATCCTTAGGCTGGACATACACATCTGGAGGAGGACTGATGGGCGATGAAGTAGACTTGTTCTAGATTGGCAACCACGTTAAGGCAAAGTTGGTGTGGGACGTCCTGCGGCAAGATGGACGGACGACTTGAGAAACGTTATCGGTAAAGCTGGATGAGGGTGGCACAGGACCGGGAGAGTTTGCGTGCTGAGGGGCAGGATTATGTCCAGCAGTAGATGCGTGTAAGTTGATGAAGATCCTTAGGTATGCCGTCTACGCATACCGTCACGACGTTGTCCTCGCGCCTAGCCTCTTTTCAGTAGAACCATATTATAAGAAGGAGATGATTTTGGGTGAATAACCTTTAGAAGCCTGCCGAAGCATCCCGAATGCTACCGAAGTATTTCAGAGGCTGCCGGCACCCTAACCTTAGCGCAGCTTTGTGTTTGTAACTACGATCATTACAATGGAAATTTCTACTATAATCTCACAATATTAAGGTATATTACTATTCATCACCTAAAATTTCCCTGCCGTTCCGTCCAGTTAGTGGGCGCCGGGCCTAAGGATCCTATTGCTACCTCGTCTAGAGCCCCCGTCCGCGTGGACTCGACACTTTACAAAATTTTGTATAAAAATATTAGAATTTAAGTTTATTTTGTTGATATACTGTTATTCACATATTATTAGTATTTCACATGTGTATGTAGTTGTAGGTACATACACTACCTGTTATGTAGGTTTTCTTATTTGTTTATTTATTTATTGTTGAGTTCTGTATTGTTGTCAGTGGCTCACTCGCCCGGGATTACTGAAAATCAGCGCCACGAACGGTTTAAAAAAAGTATTTTGTGGGTAAAGCTGAGCAAGTCCCGATTGCACCAGACACGACACGCGTAACTATGAATTAGGTACTGCATTGTCAATTGTTTTAATTCAGTTATCAGCATCAATTGTTTTAATTTTTTAAAATTATTTTATTATTATTATTATATTACTCTTTATTTAGACTCTCGCTTCTAGGAGGGCCTAAAAGGTTAATTTTGAATTGTTATTATTGTTCATCTGTTGTTTTGTTTACATACGTGCCTGTGCTTGTGAAATAAACAGTTTCTTTCTTTCTTTCTTTCTTTATTGGCGAGTCTACTAGAGCGCTCTTTACGTAATCCATGACCTCTTTTATTCTACTGCTAACAGATACAACTTACGTTAGGTATATTTGTCTTCGTTTATGAATGAGGTACGAATAAATGACAAACAACGGGTTGGCACCCAATCAATTCGATACATAACTATGTACTAGTATGCTTACCAAATAGAGGTCCAAACAACATGCAGACGCCTAGCATCATTATACACATGCGTACGCGCCGGTTGTTGGGCCCTTTCTTAAACACGACGTGAAGTGAATCGCGGATGTTAGACAGATCGAAGAACTCGCGCATGAAGTAGCAGATTCCACGATTGTCGTGCTGGGTAACAAATAAAGAAACAGATTGGTATTTTTATTAGAAATTGTGAATAGTGCAACATTGTTTGGTGTTTATGTGCGGATCATTGTCCGTTCTAATTGTCGCAGTACTGCTAGTATATTATTATGTTGTTGGTCATTGGTGTTACAAACTCCTAATACTATTCTGTGGAATTGCGTTCAGATACACTGTTTTGACAGAAACATCTACAAAACTTTCATAGCAATGCGAAATACTATTGGCTACACAGCCTTAGACATGCGAACACCGATACAATCTTTCCGGATTACGAAAATAACTTCAAATATGTTTAATTAAAAACAATAGAAATTATGTGACTATTTTGGGAATATCTAATACTTGTGTAACAATGTAATAATTTAGAAGTATTTCCAGCGGGTTCAGTAAATCTATTTATAAGAAACTTATCTTTATTATCGGGCGGTTACCAGTTTTTTCGCTATGACGTAATGTTGATAACGTTACAAGATTGGTATTAATCTATGTTTTGAGCGATAACAAATTCGAAATCACATTAATCAAAAGGTATAAATTCCTTACTATTTTTGTATAATTATATGGATATCTCTAGTACCTTAGGCTAAATACTACAAGTAGTACTACCCTTACCTTTCTTTGTTCATAACCCCTTACAGGTTCTCTTAAATAAACGACGTTATACACAATATTGATAGAACCAACAACTAATGCTACACTATAGCCTCCGAAATATCCATAGTTCTTAATAAAGTAATCACGTAGGCCTATACCAATGGGTAGGCCAATTATCATGGCAATGTACACCACACCCATCCTGAAAGCTCGTTTTTCCTCAGAAGTAACATAACTAATGAACGAATAACAAGAAAATAACATCAGGCAAAAACCTCCACTAAAAGAGTCTATTAAAATTTCACTAATCACTAGAAATTCTAAACTCAGATCTTCAAAAAAGTACGCTTGTAGTATATTGCTTATACAGATGAGAATTTGTCCGGCTATAGGTATGACCATAAACATTTTTCTTCTTCCAGTTTTATCCGTATAGGATCCGGCGATTAGCAGAATCAAACATTGTATTGTTGTGGAAATATATTTCTTTAGCGATACAAGTGTCGGAAATAACTCTTGCATATGTTTTTCGTATTTGTTATCTTTGTTTATCATCTGTAATTTGAGCAATTGGCAGAATTCTTCAGTAAAATTAAGAGACACGCGGCATGCCTTTCGTAAGCTCAAATTTTGGCTGGTTTGTATTACTATTGATACCATTACCATGTGCAGTAATATCGTCGGTTCTACTGTTATGTTTTTTATAACTTTGTACCATGCCGGGTTGCAGTCTTTTGTTCTTTCATCATCATCTTCGTCGTCGATAGGATGAACGAGTATCTTTCTTTTGAAAGGACGTCTTTCCGATGAAGATAGTCTATCTTCAACAGTCAATATAATGTCCAAAGTCATTTCAAATCACATTGCACTTTCTTCAACCGTGAAATCACACTAGTATGTCCGAGAGATTGTAAACGAATGAAGGCCAGTCAGTCATATTTAGCGGATTAGTATATCGTATATCAGACGTTCGATATGTAATGTTGTTTTTTTTGCTTCCGGGCTGCGGAGATATGGCTCGTCATTATACGAATAATATGTATTTACGTAGTTGCAATTATATTTGCAAGGTGAAAATAAATGTGAACTGTTAAGATTTTTCATACTACTACCATCAAAATTTGATTACATTTAATGTACTCTCATTATTTGTAGCTCAATTTATCATAATATTTGTCATATTATTTGCATTGGTTCGAGATTTTTGGTTCTAAAATATAATAGTAAACATGACACGACTAGTGCCAACTCTAGAATTGTAGAAAATCGTGAGATAATGTCTGTAAATATGCAAAATAGTGCTAATAACATTTTGTTTTCTCTTTGATTTACATGTACGTAAAGAGGTATTTATTTAGAGGTACGAAGATTGTTGCGGTGCTATATAATTTTAAATCTAAAGGAAATTAAAGCAAAAAAAGTGCTGATGCAAGATGCATTTAAAATAGGTTTAGGCCAAGTTAACGTTTAGTGTTGATATTCCTTTCGGGCGTACTGAGCGCTTTTCGGCATCCTTTACAATGCGCACAGCCAACGAATGGAACTAGAATATCTTTGGCTCGCCTTAAGGTGCGATCGAATAGGCGTCTTCAGGCCGAGTTGTTCCATCGCAAACTCTTTCTTTGCTTCACGGCTAAGTAGTGGTCAAGTGTAAGACAATTTAAGAAGTTCCGAGGCTTTTTCAACACAAGCTTACAATTGCTTAATTGGACAACCTCGTGTACCATATTATAGTGCCACACACTTTCAATATCAATTATCACTGCTTTCAATAAATATGCGGTTAGCAATAAGATTGTCTAATGAACGTTGTTTATTTTCTAATAATCTATTTAATGTCTGTTGTTGTAATAAAATATTACATTTAAATAAATTGAATTTCTATAAACTCTGTGAATTTAAAGGAACTGTAGGTTCTTTCTCTACAGATCTGGTATTAGGATATTGGATCTGTATATAAATTATTTAGAGCTCCGCTCAATCAGGAAACAGATCGAAATGTTATCCTTTTATGATAAAGATACAACTAGAGTTCACGACGAGTCGTACATAAAACTGAACCGCGCTAGGTCATTGCCACTGGCTTTTAGAGAAAGAAAAAAATACGGTGGATTTTCAGGAAAAGATTAAAGATTAAAATTACCATGAATAGTTTTCTCGTTTCTGCACATTGATATCTTATCAGGAAATTTACTTAATCTCTAAAATAATAATAACAAAAATAATATACCTCTTTCTGTTCTGGACTCCTCTCAGGATCTTTTAAAACAAAAGAATTGTACATAAAATTGATGATAGCCATGCACATTGCTATTGCATAGCAACCGTAGTAGCCTGTTTTCTTTAACACCACCCCACTGAGGCCCATCCCTATTGGAAACCCAACAGTCATACTGAAATGTATCAGACCCATTCGGAATGTTCGTTCATCATCTCTTGTAACTGCACTGATGTACGCAAACATTGTAAATAAAGGAAGACACCAACTTCCGAATAGAGAATCAATCAAAGCTTCACTGAATATGAGCACTTCCAAACTTAGCTCGTAAAAGAAATAAATGTTTATAAAATTACTGATACATGTTAGAATTTGTCCGGTTGTTGCTACTATAAGAAAGATCTTCCTTCGTCCAATTTTGTCTGAGAATGAGCCAGCACATAGTGCTAATATACTTGGTATCAGCGCTTGAATATAAGTTTTGTAGGGAAGATAAGTCGCCAATAATTTCTGGGTTTCCAACTCATATACATTTTGGCTTTCCAACGTTTGTTGTCTCAAAGAATCACAAATTTCTGTTGTAAAATTTAAATTTACTCTGCACGCTTTATCCAAGCTCAAATTCTGTGATGTTTGTAACGTGAGAATTGCGGCAATTATAAACAAAACCATCGTTGGTTCTACTGTGATGTTTTTAATTATATATAAGCAAGTTCCACCGCAACTTTTCTTTTCATCTTTTTCTTCATTTTCATTGAGTGGCTGTTCTTCTGCGATATTCTCTGTCACTGAACCTTTTCGTTCCGTAGCTAGAGCCATATTTAGTTCAATATTTTCACTACAGAACCGTAATTTAACGACTGTTGTTCGCGCCGTACAGAACCAATCGGTTATATTAGTGGCCCTATAATAATTATCTATTATTTGAACGGTCTTTACACTCACTATCAGTACCAGTTGGATTAAGATAATGTAGCCCACAATATATTGTTAATGATCATTAATGTGTTCAAGATAGTCGTCAGGATGTCAATACGTGCAGACATTTATATATCGTTAGATAACTACCGCATAAAACGTTCATTGTTATCCTTCTTTACCTAAATTTCCATTTAAAATTTTGTAATGTTCGTTTAAGATATTATGTTGTTTAAAAGGAATGAATATTTGACTCTTGTAATCGGCGTCATAAAAATACGTTATGTTTTTTTTACATTTGGTCGGTTCGATTCCGAGATGAGTAAAGCAACCATTTAACATCTTTGAATGTAGTATTACTTACCTCTAACATAAAGTAATGCCTCGACGAGGCAAAATATCCTGTCTACAGAATTTAACATTTTTTCCCTCCGTGTTTTACAGCCGTGGGAGACGCCCTGTAAATATAGCATTGAACTTAGGGAGTTTATTATTGTAAGTGTACCTTATACGAGTCTACACTATAGTTTAGGCTCACACAGGCTTTAAAACAGACCCTTGATGTACACTGCAAGTAAACTTTACTTTTCTATCATAGGGTAAATGAAACTCAGTATTTAAAGCTCCTGAATATTATTTATTACTTTTTATGTTAGCCACGTGTGAAAAATCTGGATGAAAACTAAATAATTATCAGCTTTGCAAGTCGAAAGTATGCACTATTGTTTAGGCTCACACAGGCTTTAAAAAAGACCCTTGTGTAACACCGCAAGTAAAGTTATGGTAACCTCTAGATTATTATTACTTATACTTATTAAATAAGAATAAATAATTTTGTAAGAATAGGTACTACAATACATTTATCTTGTATAAAAATATACCTGTTTTACCAGGATACAATGCTATTGTAGGGTGGGAAAGGTAAAAGTATGATTATTTCGATTATGATTATTTTGTATTCATTTCGGGGATGCTAAAACCTGGTGATGCGGAGAAAATATTTAAAATTGTTATCGAGTTCTTAGGTTTTCGCGATTGTTACACATAGGAAATGAAACTATTTTTCCGGATTTAAATCGCGTATATTTGTTTTTTTTTTAACAAACCGACTTTTCGGGTACTTTACAGGCCCTATGGTCACGGTTGACTGAGGTGATACAGTCTTCAACCGGTTATGTCTAATATTAATGCAAACCACCCTATTTTTTCACTATAGTTACAAAAGTTATTAATTAAATACCTCATTTTTAATTTTTTAAAGAACGTTCTAATTTACGCTATATTATGTTTTACAAATTATTTTATTTTAACAATATTTATTAACATTAAGTTTTAATTTATTATTAACACTAATGGAAATTAGAATAAATTAAAACATATTAATTAGTACTGCGGTCTTATGTCTGTTTAGGATTTTTCATCAGAGGAAATACTGGATCCCTAACTGGGGGTACGGAGAAACCAACTTCCCTGTTGAAATTAAAATATTTTTTAATTTCAATGCCTCTCGCAGCATCCTGGGTAGGTAACGGAATTCTTTTGTAAGGACCTGGGGGTTGTCAAACTTCATTGAGTGTGTAGGTTTATCCATGACATGCGCGCAGACTGCAAACTTGTTTATGCGACGGTATTTGACATCAGCTGTAAGTTCTTTGACGCGGGTACGAATACTTCGCTTCGTTTGTCCAATATAAGAAACACCACACTCACAGTCAAGCTTGTAAACTTCTGCATCCTATAAGGGAATGTTACATTTCATGGGTCTCAGGAAATCTTCCTCACGGGCTTGAAATAGGTATTGATAGACGCACGCCTGTGGACTCTTCCGATCTTGTCTGTAACATCTCTCACGTAAGGAAACCACCGTGTGAAATTACCAACAGTTGAGCGAAGACCTACCATTTTCCTTTACGTGAGAGGCTGGGATTTTACCTCGTGTCATGCACGATACGTGTCTTGAAACTGTTCAATCGATAACATCATGCGGCGTACCAATACACGTAACGGATGTTCGTCGTTGCTTATTAGTGTATCAGTTCTATCAAATGTTATTGTAAGAAACAAAATTTTTGACTGAAATGACAAAGCCTGCGGTTCAGAATCTGCAACGTGGCGCTTTCACTGTACCCCGCTGGGTTTATTCACTAATAAAGGGTACTAAAAGCATGTCTTGTGGGATGCCTAGTTATACTGATTATTTGAATATTTGCAAAGATTTCAGTAGCCGTAGCATGGCAGTATATCACATGGATAGTGTGATAAATCTCCCCGTGACAATTTGAAAATATTATTATTTTTTATTACGAATACTGAATCGGTAAGATACCGCACTAGAGTGATTCGTTCTTTTGTTTTTTTGGTAAGGATCTATTGTTATATATTTTGAAGAACAAGGATAACTACATGGAATTGCGTATATATACCTTGTGGCTATTTGTGTCGTTTAATCATCGCTGAGAACGACGAAACAAAAATTTTTGTAGTTTCAGTTTTTACATTATATTAGTTATTATTTACGTATTTCTAATTATTCTCATGTATTGAACTGAATTAAAAATGTTGTTGTCACCCTTTTCCAATAATTTATATAGTATATGTATATATCAATTTGTTGGTTTTTATTATTTCTTTTTATCACGTTTGTCGCGCTCAATTTTTACGTTGATAAAATTACTGTGCAGAACCATCAAAATGTTTTAAAATCAGCTGTCACCTTCCCGCCATGATTGGCACTGCGATATTCTTTTGCAGCCATTGGTCGAGGCGCTCGTGATGCGACAAAAATGTGACGTCACGGTGCTCGCCATGTTAGCTATTGTTATGAAATTTTAAAATGGCGGTTTTATCACTCGAATTTAACAGCTAAATGTGGATATAATAGATGTCTCGCGGCGGCATGGCACGGGGGCTGGTCCATCTTGATAGATTTTACATGATTTAAACATAAAATAAAACACGCAAAACATTTATTTCTATGAATAACAAAATTTACAAAACCATTTTCTATATTTTGTGTGTATGTTTTATTTTTATATCAAACTAGCTAAACTATATCTAAGTTTATGTTACAAAGGAGATTACGAACGTTTGGGTTGTTTTGTACATATTTTTTTAATAAACATAGATAGTCGTAGAGTGAATAAATACCTCGTATGTAATTTCTACGTAATTATTCAAGATGGAGATAAAAATGTGGTGTAAATGTAGTTAACGCAACACTGTTTGTAGTTATCATTTTAATTAGTTAAATTTATACCTCTTTCAGATATTATATTACTTTAATAATATATTTGAGGACGAAAGTTTTAAGTTCTTCTTCAAGAAAATTCAGGAAAACGCGAATACGAAGTTTTCACTCTAAGGCGACGTTATGCATGTTTATAAACTTTGAATTACTATAACAAGTTTTATTTAGTAAAGAATTTAGTTTTTTCTCCGATGGTCAAAAATAGCTAAATTCTTATATGCTAGGATGCAGATTGTAGGCGATGCACTAAGTTTTACTTAAAAAACTACGTTATACGTATTTATATATATATATACATAGATAAAAAAAAATAAACTTATTAAATTAAGCTGTATACCGTTTTGCTGTGAACATCATTCTAATAAGTAAAGGCTGAATCATGTTACACCGGGCCGTGCTCCGGGCGTGCGCTGGCCGTGTATATGCTTTTGTAAGAATTTCATTTTAAACCGGGCCGAGTCCGTGATACGGCCGAGCCACGGTCGGGGCATAGCGACGAGTATTTGTTCCCGGTCCCAACCCCGATAGAGACACGTCGTAATATGAATGCATTCGCCGGACACCTAGAAGCTATTCAACGTTGGCCTATAGTGTAGTGGACAGCGCAAGCGCAAAATGGATGCCGAAAAATTATTACAATGTGTGCGCATGTACCTTGTGCTTTGCTGTGCCTGGTCGGCGCACGGTGGAAATGACACGGCACGGTGTAACATGAATCAATAAATGACAGACCCGGTCGGCACATGGTGGAAACGATACAGCACTGTGACGCCTCGGACCCGACACGGTCCGATGCAAGTCAGTAGCTCGAACTGCGCTACCGGTGAAACGCATGTAACTAATTCCTCTGTCGCGACAGACGTCGCCTTTTTTCAAAAGTAAAATCATGGTTTCAATTCAGTAGCAATGCTTACCCAACGCAAGGTAAATGTTGCTACTGAATAATATATAATTCAACACTAATTTAATAACGCTAATTTTTCGCGTGTCAAACAAAAATTATCGATATTATCTTTGTCTCAAAATCCAAGTTCGACAAAGACGATCTAGACACAATATCAAAGCTCAAAACAATGGTACGGAGGTCATAAGGTCATAAATAGGCGAAGGACCACACATTGTTTATTTACGTTTCCTTAAACTTCAAGTTTTATATTACGAATCCCTCAACCAAATAATAAAAAAAATTTCGTTTCCTTCGGAAATTTTTAGGGGAAGTCGACATTTATTTTTGGAAAAATCTCTAGATTTAAAACTGTTGATGTTTTTCACCTCTGACGTCATTTAACTGTGTCTAATTCTAAAGTTTAGCTTTAATCATATCATCAAAACATCTGCCACAATCTAAAGAATGAAAGTTAGACGTTTTAGGCAACTAACTTGCAAACAACACAAAATGTTAATGTTAAAATTAACACCAGTCATCATTTAAGATAGTAACATATCGACTTTTACTTTGTATAAATGTTTGACCATTATTATAATATCTAGACTTTATAGTCTCGTCTTGCAATCACTGTCTTTTTTCTCTACGACAGCAAGGTCAATATTGTCTACTTCTAAAATATTTATTGGATAGTAAAATTTATTTAGCCCCTGATCTAGACCTTCGGGTTTCTTTTCAATGTCTTTCTTCTCTTCTGCTTCTAAAGCCGTCTTTCTTGCTTTTCTTTGTTCCTGTTTGTGCTGTACGTAGAATGACCTGTAAAGAAATATGAAATTTTTACTTGCCATTGCGTTTACACAGTGTAAATGTTTCTATTTTGGTTAAATGCTATTTCATTTTGCTCAGGCGCAAATAATAGAAATATGTCACCGCTCAGTATAACGTTGTTTTATGAAGATGCCAATATATATATACCTATGTTAAACTTCTTTTGCTTTCGTAAATAACAATAAAATATAACCATTTTCTGCTGCATGGCCTTGTTTAAAAAATTAGCAGTATATCGTAAGTCTAACGCGACTTCAAGTTCGGCTATTAATTCTAATTGAAGACAACATCATCAAACATAATCAAAAATGTCTTACGTGAGAATTATGGCAGCTGGAATGATTAAGGCAGCACTGACCAGGAACACCGCACCAGGCAGAACCTGCAGCGTCTTCATGTACAACCAAGAGTAAAACGGATGGAAGAGAAGTGCCGCCAGTGTCTCGGTTAGGGAGAACAGGGAATTTACTTTTGCTGTAATAGAAATTGTAAATATTGATATTTCTTGTCTAGATTTACTTATGTGCATTGTGGTAGAGTCAGTGTAATAGTCTCTCAGAAATGTGACTGAAGAGGCCATGGGCAGATATTTAAGGCTACAAGATTACATCTTTGCCTTATTATTCACTTACCAGTTTCCTGCTTCTCCACCAATTTCGAAATAATTGATCGCAGTGACGTGAACGTCGTTGCATTCAGTATCTCAGCCACTGGCACTGCAATGATAGGGATTATTGCTGATATTAAAAATAATTTGTGCTAGATTATTTGTTTTATCTATTCTACATAATATGGTGTTTATTTGTTTCTTTCTATCCAAGATAAAATTCTGAGTATTTATAGAGTTCATCATCAACCCATTAAACGTCTCACTGCTGAGCACGGGTCTCCACACAGGAAATAGTTCTCCACCCTGGCCCAATGTGGGTTGGGAACTTCCCACGTTCTCTGAGGATTGTGAACCTACTTCGAAGTGCAGGTTTCATCACGAAATTTTCCTTCACCGAAAATTCCCAGAAACTCAGAGATGCGAGCTCGGATTTGAACCCATGACCCTCTGCTTCAGAGGCGGTAGTTCAAACCATTAGGCTACCACACGGCTTATTTCAAGAGTGTTATAAAACAATTTAAAAAAAAAAAAATTGCTTCCCACTTTCTTATTAGGTGGGTCAATGGATTTGTAGTTCTTCGTAGTCATATCATACTGTGTTTCAAGCTTAAAAATCTAACATCACATCTCAACGGTCATGGTCATCATTTACCACTACCATGATGATCATGAAACAAATTAGAAAGTGTCAATATTCTCACGCAAGCTCATTTCTTTAGAACGTTTTTCCACCGTTAAACTTGTCAATAGAAATAAACAAACACCTGAAGACACCTTGTTATTTTAAATTATGACGTATCATTATTATATTGTTAAAACAAAATATTTCGCAATTGTAATGTACGAACGTTCCAATTAAGGGATAAACCACACTCGAATCGGCTTGAAGGCGATCATGTTTTACAACCACACTTATCGCAATAAGCCGATTCGCCGTCGACAAATATGTACATGCTCCGACGCGCCAATTGTTTCTAAACTAGGATCAGCCGTTGTCGTCGGCATGCGTACGAACGCGATCAGAAGTTCGCAGTAAGCAAATTCGTTGCCGACCTGTGTCGAGCCGAACCAAACTGATGCCAAACGCATAACGTCTTTTTCGCTACTACATTCATTTACATTTTACATTTTCCCTGATCGGCTTAATGCAATTCCGCGTCAATAAGTGTTTATCCCTTGCGCTGAAGCGTCTGGTAAATCAAAAAATAAGGTATTTAAATTAATACCCTGGTTCGGATACGTGGAGGGATTGGGAGAAGATCGTGTCGCGAAGAGAGTTAATTAGGGACAACCGAAAGGACGCCGATCGGTTGGACGTCACAGGTACCGCTGGAGCGACGAAGTCCAGAAAGATCTCAAGGACCTCGGTGCTAGTGACCATATCAGTCAGCCGTGACCAGTAGTTTCATTGCCAATATGTAGTAATAATAATCTCAAAAGCCTAAGAACTCGTGATGCTGTATGTTTAAACAATTCTAACAATATAATAGACACGTATTTTATAGTTTGAGATAAGCAAAATGTATCGTTGGCAAGAGATAGAGGTATTATAATAACAATTATGGGCACCTTTAAAGTAGGTTAAGGTGTACCGCATAAGCGGCGAGGTAAGGGACACGTACAGGTAATAATTATAATTAATTAGCGCTTAGAAGGAAAATTGATGATCTTCGTACATTTACGTGCGTATACAGGAAAAGTTGTCTGCCCTTCAGTATATTAACTGATTATTAACTCATCCGGCCGAAGTTAGAATACTGTAATATTGCCGGTGAGGAAGAATGAGTATCGTTGTGGTTATTTTATGAGCCACAGCTACCTACGTAATGTGAAGTTATTACTTCGAGTTTATTGTACGGTCTTCTCATCAAGATGACGAATTTATTTCAGGCGTAAAGTACTTAGATGTTCCAATGCGGTTTGAGATTTCTCTTGTAGTTATTTCAAGGGTTTTATGAATTTTCTCTGATGTTCTTCTTTCTTATGAATTCCATGGTGTCTTATTTATTATGTAGAATAAATACTTACTGTTTGTGATATTTGACTGAGGTCCAGAAAATAATTTATTATTTAAAACATATAAATATAATAATAAATAACAAATTTCTTTATAATATAGATATTAGTAAATAATTCTAAGCGACACTAACCTAAATACATCTCTATATCTGTGGTAACAAAGGCGGTCCAGATGGAGCCGACGAACTTGCTCGCTACTGAGATCAGACAGAGAAGGGAGTCGTCAATCTGCAGTCGCTTGCTCAAAACTGTTATTGAGAACATTGCACCTGAAAGAACACGAATTGTTTTTAATCGGTTGTTTTTCCTGTCCCTTGAACCATGCTAAAGAAAGTTTCATACGAAATAATAATAATAATAATGAACTAGGAAAACATAACTCCAACCGAAAAGAACAAAAAAGACTACAAAGGATAAGTCGTGAGTTATACGAAAAGCATACAAGGTACTTTTTTGGAGTGAGTTCTGAATTCTACAAAAAGGACTTAAAGTTTAGGATCGAAGCCAACAAATTAAGCAGCAAAAGCAAATTAAGTTACTCTTTACAAGTGAAACAGCTTTATTTTGTCAGTGTAAATTGCATTGTGGTAAGTCATTGTTACGATAATTAAAATACAATATTGTATTTACGGAGTTAAAGTGGAATTGGGCAGGACATAACGCAAGGCGTGGTAATGAGAGATGGAGTAAAACGGTCACAATTGGTCACCAAGAATTAGTCATAAAAAACGTAAGACGATAGAGAGATAGGTATACAATATAAAATCGCTAGTAGATGGATGAGACAAGAGCAACATCTTGGTGGATAGCACAAGCTACGGAAGGCTCACCCTTTGGCTGTGGATGATGAAGAAAGGCATTTGATCAGAATGAATCAATTCCATGGCATCCGACAAATGTTAGTAGTTAGTTCCTTGATAAGTTAGGATGCAATAATAAGTTGAGCAAATGTAAAAAAATAACAAATTTTTCAGAAACATTTGTTTTCAACTGTTACATTAATTACCTCGTTACACCTAGCAGTCTTAAAAATACTAGCGGGCATTGGAAGTTTTGTCCCGTGACCAGAGTAGACAAGTGTAAATAAACTTTGTGGTGAACTTATAGGGGAGAACATACATATGTTTTCATATTACAGAAGAAGGTAACATACTTACCAAAGGAGTGTAAAATAATTGAATAACTGGTGAAGAGACCGAACTTCACCATGTCCCAGTTGAGACGATTTCGCACGAACAAGTAGAAGATACCGTGTTCTGCTGAAAATATTCAATAACAGAGGATTGTTAAATTGTCAATTATATTAAACATCCTTTGTTTTATACCGATTGTAAAATTTATAGTGTCGGTTGCGCAACACATCCACTTTCTTTCATCGATTCATATAAAAAGTATTTTTTGTGCACGATATTTTTATTATTACTACGTCATCACATCATTCATCATCGTCATTATCATCGACATTATTATTGTCATCATTTCAGATGAAAGAAGTCCAATGCTGGCATAGGCTTTCCCCAAAAATTGCTAAGGGTGGTTGTTGACTGCATATTACATCCGCCTAGAATAATGCCATCTAGAACAAAAAGAAGCAAATGCTGTGTCCTCGATCCCAAAAATTTTACAATATTGTAAACTAGAATGACGCCGCTGTCCGTATCCTGAATTTAGCACTTTCTCACTTTCTGCGACATCTACAAATAATGGAATCTTACATTAGTATTCTTATAGCCGAGAAACTTACACATAGTGGGGCCATACAGGATGAAGACAGTGAACAAAGTAAGTAAGACTTTGACTCTTCTGTTGTTTTCTCTCGGCCGGTGCGCGACACTGACTGTGTCTCGAACGTGGGTGATATTGAAGAAGGATACTTTCTCGTCTTTGTTTCGTTCAATCTGCGAAATTATAATTCATTTTCATAATGCTTTTCAATACAGACGTACATAGATGTTCGTAAATATTAAAAAAAATTTGTATGCGAATAAAAGTTTCCCTATAATAACCTCACATTGCAGATATAGTTTATGAGGTGTACTTGGCATTCTTAGTAAATAACCTTCACTGAGCAAAACCTAAAGTACTTTCACTTATATGTTAACAGACAGAAGAGTTAGTTCTTCTCTCAGTTAGATATAAATCATCGATAATATTTAATACAAGATTCTATATAATAGTGATTTATTAAATAGATTTTTATGTATATCCTATCCGTCATGTCTATCAAAAGTTGTATTTCATCTTTTAAAATATTATCGTTCATATCTTCACGTGTCCTACTCATTCACTTTGTTCGACGAGTTAGCGAGTTTTGCTTGTCACGGTTGCAATTTACCGGTTCTATTGTGTTTATTAATACAGCTGTCGAGCTGTTCTCAACGTATTCCGAACGTGTTGAAAATGAACTAATATGTCAGCTTTTTTCATTATAAAACCATGTGATGAGATGAACAAGTCGTGCGCCTTGTGGTAAGCGACACGTCGGCACGAATGTCCTTCATCACAAAGATCTTATGGCCACTGTCACAGTGTCACTCTGGGACAAGTTGATAAGTCCCGTGTGCCTGTAACTTCACCAGCACCCTAAATCTTTCAAACCGGAACGCAATAATGCTCAAATTACTCTTTGGCATCAGAAATAGATAAAGTGGCAGTACTTCACTGGACGAATTCATTCACCAGGAGCTCTACAGCTACTAAAAATTGGTGCTGTGCATAACTTATTTGTACTACTACGTTGTCTTGACCGTTTTCGGCTACGACCACTGCTCCAACTCCGCTGTTTGTAGCGCTCGTATGCTCTAGCCTGGCTCACGTAGCCAATCTTATTAGTTAGTTCTTATTTACACCCATGCGCATAGAAGGCTAGTGATCACACCGTGAACGTAGTGATAGCTGATTGCCACAGGTCAAAATCTCAATTAAAAAAAGAAATTGTAAATATATCGAGTTCTTTAACAAAATCACAAAACAGGCAACAACTCATATTAGTTCCGTCACGCACCGCTAGATGGCATTGGCGTCGAAATAGCAAATTCTGCATCGCGGTGTTAAGATTTTCCCTCGCGGAATGACTACTGGCGGCGATGCGAACATGAATGTAATCCAACTTACGACGTATCTAGCTCTGCTTCCTTGTTTGGAACTCTTCTTTAGATCGTTACCGTTGAACCTACTGCACTGTGCTACGCTTCTAGCGCTGCTTCCTATTTGGGACTCCGCTTTAGAACGTAACACGTAGTTGTTGCACTCTGAGCCGCTTCCTAATTGGAACGTGCTTACGGGTCCTCGACTACGTGCCGATTAGGGGGAGTCCTTTCCCACTATACCACCGACGTTGTACATACTGTATATGATGTCAAAATAAACCCACCATATTGGAAAAACCTGGTTTCCCTCAGTCACCCAAGAACATATTACAGTTCTTAAATTTTCGCGATTGTTACACATAGGAAATGAAACTATTTTTCCGGATTTAAATCGCGTATATTTATTTTTTCAAATAAACCGACGTTTCGAGCCCTTTACAGGTCCCATGGTCACGGTTGACTGAGGTGGTACAGTCATCAACCAACAACTTTCATTTCATTCAAAAGTTTCATTTCCTAATTGTCCAGTGTATCAAAAAAACGAACTGGACCGAAATCTGGATTTTAGGTATAGTTTTATTACGAATGACTTATAATCTGATTTGGAAATATAGAAAAGAACATCGAAAGAACTTTAAAGACAGAAATATATGCATTATTATGTTTCCAGTGTATCAATACACTAAAAGTGTAAAATACATGTAAAAGTTTATTTGATCGAAACGAAACCTGATAATCAGTACATACATGTGAGAATTTCTGAAATGTTTTCACTATCGTAAATTCCCCTTTCCCATTATTATGCATGACAACATCCGCTTTGCCGATTCGACCATTTTGCATTATCGATTTTTAATACAAACTTTTTGACGTCCGGCATAATCCGGACGGAACATAAGCTTGTTACAATAATCACTATTGTTATTATAATCAGATGTCAGTCAAAATATTGTTTGTGTAATGAAAGGTAAAACAATTATGTAATACAGCGGCGCGAGTGTCACCTTGTTCTGAATTAAAATTTTATCTCTTCACCCTTTGTCATCATTTCGCTATGTGTGAAGACGCATTCAATCAGTGTAACTCCTTGTAGTTCCTTTGTCAGAAGGATCATCGCCTATGGAAGGTTAAACTCAAACTTATATGAGTCCCTTACGAGTCGTTTCCTCCTAATTTTACATACAGGTTCCTTTACATAGATAGAACACGTTGTAGAGTACATAAAAGAAATACTAGGCAAAATGGTTGTACCTTCAAAATTATTGTTAAAGGAATTACTGGAAGTAGTTGAGTACTACAGTACTACCTATCGGTTGTGTCACCGACTTTATTTTTTAGTAGTTATAGCTTAGGTGCCTTAAATGTACGTGTATTACTTATTTATATATAGCATAATTTTTTTTAAAGACACGTAAATCTACGTAAAACTTTCCTTTGATAAAACTTTAATCTGATATGTGCGACAATCGATTAGAAATTTATATAAATTTTTCCTTAAGTGTGAGATATTTATAAGCACGCTTTTTTCAAATTTCAGATAAGACGAAGTGTTTCTATAAGAGCACACTGCACTGAAAAGTTTTTCATCTATGAATAGTCAGACCGTCAATCTCCAAAACAATTATTTATTCCGGAGTTTCATGGTTATTCGAGTTTGTAGAACAAAAAGAGCGTTAGCGACATTACGCTTTATGTTTTATACCACTTAGGTATTAGGAAACTTTGGCGGAGCATCAATACTTCACTATCGATACTAACCCTAATAACCTTATCTGGATTACAAAATATGGCACGGCTTTTATCATATCATTGAGGTGTTATTTTTCGTAAGTTACCATATCTAATCTTTTATTGTAATGGATAGCTTGTTTTCAATTATTTGTTAGTTTGTTCTTGCGCCTGCTCCGGCTCCGTTTTGGCCAATTCATTTGAAAACTTATTGATTAAGACAATAGTGGGATTTACGCAGACACTCTATCGCGCGTGATACATCAATCGTGCGCAATTGAGCGCGCGTCTAATGATGTTGGAAGGAAAAGGGTAAGACCGCACGATTGTGCTCATCAGTCAGTTGCGCATCAGTTTCACGCGGTCTATCCTGCGCTATTAGCCTCCATACGGACGCTTTTTCCGTTGTAACAACAACGAACACGAGCAATCGCGCGCGAAAGAACGTTAGTTCAAAAAAAAATCAAACCGGTAATTGCGCACAAATGCGCGTGCAGGCTTTCACGCGCGCAATCGTGTGACGCTCCTGATCACGCGCGATAGAGTGACTGTGTAAAGGGGGCTAATCCATTATAAACATTGATTCCTTGAAGTTAAATTGTTACTAAATAAGATTGAGTTGAAATTGGTTGTACATCAGATAAATAAAAAAAAGAAGCGGACCATCGGAATCAACACAATACATAATATTGCTAGTACTGCTAAGTTTGAGAAGTAGGTAATTAAAAAAATACAAGTTCTACTTACAACAGGGAGGCCTTTTTCTCTTAGTAGATCATCAGGCTCTTTCAAGCAAAAGCATCCGTACAATAACACGAGAGTGAATAGTGTAGTCGTCATAGAAAAAATTCCATAGTATCCCATCCTCTGTAGCAAAAATCCACTTGCACCAATTCCAATAGGAACTCCAACCGTCATGCAAAAGTTTACCAGGCCAACTCTGAAGGTTCTCGTTTCCTCGGAAGTAATGTCGCTAATGTAGCTAAAGACTCCAAGGAACATCGTCACCCATCCTCCCGTTCCAGCTACAAATATGGTTTCTAACAATATCGTGATTTGAACAGGAATTTCGTAGAAGTAATATACATTGATGATGTTATTCACAGATGTTAATACTTCACCAAAAATTGGCAGAAGAATGCATATCTTGCGCTTCCCAGTTCTATCGCTCCAAGATCCTAGGAACATTATTATGATGCATGGTAATGCCGTTCGAATAACGCCTCTCCATATATCTATAGAAGAAATCAGTTTCTGTACTTCCTTTTCGTAATGCGAATAGTTATTGCTACTTCTCTTTATCAAAGCATCGCAAACCTCGTCACTGAAGTTCAAATTGACTCTACAAGCTTTATCCAAATTCAAATTTGTCATAGCAAACATAGATATTACACTTGGTATAATAAGTCCAGCTAGTAATGGTTCAACTGTTATATTGTTCTTAATATGTAATAATTTTTCACTAAAACTTTTGTGTTTGTACAATTTCTCTTCTTCTGTATTAAGGGGTTTTTCTTCCTTATTCTCCATTTTCTCTTTATTTTCCATTTTGAGGGTTACACTGAATTATTATGCACTGACTTGTTCGATTATATCATTGTTTACTATTGGCTGTGTGAAGCACAAGCGACTGCCACTAGCAATGTTTGACTTCACATTATGAAAGACACTCTATAGCGAGACAATAATTACTGCAGTGTTTAGTCGCGTTCACTGTATATTATTTGTTTGATATCAATAAAGTGATAAAGTGATGTGATTATATAGCATTTTGTTGTAAAGTACACGAGGTGGTCTAATTAGTATAGCTTTGGTCTGTTTTGGATGTATCTTGGTGATTTTTCACTTTAGTTGTTGCGGTGATTCAAATCTTTCGCTAGATTTCTTGTTGGCTTTTTTAAAATCTCTGAAAGTTTAAACTTGCTTGTTGTTGCTTAGAAAATAAATCTAAATTAATATATATTTTTTATATTATGTATTATCTGATGTTAGTTCAGTACATCGCACATCACACATCGCAATGTGAAATGTTTCTAGGATAGTCACGTTTATAAATACTGGTGTTATTGTCACGGTCGGTGGCTGCGAAAATGTGCACTTTTGAAGAACTACATTAGCATTAAAAATGATACACTAATAGCGTAGGTATGATTTGTGGTACTTTATTATTATCGTTAATGTGTGATGACTTTTATTTTTATTTAACACCTTTTATCTGGTGCTTTTACAATATATTAGATACATTGTTACTTACATATCGATTAATTCTTTATTATCGCCCTTTATAGCTGTTTTTGCTACTCCTATAAGTTTTTTGATATTGTATTTTTTATGTTTACTAAATGAACGTGATAAGTGTCCAATGTTAAATTGAGTGGGAAATTGGTTTGTCAAAATGGTGGCATTCCGGTTTTTTTAACTTATCATTTACAATACATTTAATGATGTGAAATTAATTGCAATTTAGCATGGAAAATCGTCTTTTGGGAGAGCAGGCTAGGTTGCTATGGCAATTGCTTTAAATATCCTCTAGATGAGTTTGAGAAATCCATTTTTTCTAGTGTGTGGGTGATCAATTTCATAAATTCTGTTGAAAGGATTATTTTGAAAATATATCCATTTGGATAAAATCTCTTGACTTAATTAAACAAATTATACCTATTTCAATTTATACTCTGGAAACCACTAAAACTCTTCGTGTTACTGTGTTATTTTGGGATTAATATAAACACTGTAAAATTTTGATGTAATGTGCCTATTAGATGCCTTTAGTTCTTTAACTTTGAAGGTATGAGTGCTTTTTTAATTGTATTGTCTGAAACCGGTAACCAAGTATTACAGTCTACATTGCTTGACAATTATAATAATCGCCGTAGTCAGTGAGATACCGCAATCGTCTCGGTTACAGTGACTTAGACACGTGTTAGATAGCCAGGAGCGCTGAAGCTGAAGCGATGAAGAAGAGAGTAAGGTGCCCAGTTTCTTCATCCCGAGAATTCTGACATATACCCGCAAAACGGTGATTTGGAAACGACCAGGCAATTTGATTATCTCATAGAGACTGATACAAGTTCACCCACAGTACAGCTAGGTATTTGTGGGGAATTTTGATGCGCATCATCAAGAGTGATTGTTCTTATATGGAGACATTATATGTAATAATATATAAAACGCACACACTCGTTGCCCCCGCACTAGGGAAACCCTGTATTGCGGGTGCCATGGACACAGACGTAGACAAACACAAATTATATCCAAACTCACGAGGAAAATAAATGTAGGCCACACAAATATTTATCCCGGTCCGGGAATCGAACCCGTGGTAGTCCAGCATGGTGACCGTTCGGTCACAGAGGCAGTTAAATTTATATAGAGATTTATAAGAGATATACATTAAATAGAGATATAAAACAAAACTTCCAATGATTCTGGATCTTTTCCAGCTAATAAGCTGTGCTGCAAGAACAAAGAATGTTGAGAGGCACACAGGCAATCTTTTTTGATCTGCTGATAACTGATCTCAACTATAGTAATTGTATAACTTCTGCGTTCATTTGTTTTATCAATGGTATTTTAAAATAAATATGTTAAAATTTACAAAGAGTAAAACCCTAGAGATTCTTACTCATTCTTCTCAGGTTCTGCTTACCTTTAGGTTATGTAAATATATAGGTGTGATGTAAGTGATTAATTTTTGTCAAATTTGTAAGTCCATTAATACTGTAAGCAGTTTCAAGATATTGTTCAGTGTTAAGTATGGAAAAGTAATAATTGCGGACAAACAGATTGTAGCGAATCGCTGCAGTCGCTATAAATCTCTTTTGTATATATTTTATAGTCTCTTTAAGTTTTAGTTTTATATTTAAATTCTATTTTATATTTAAATTTCTTGACTTTAGCTTATGTTAGCTGTTTTGCTTTGATAGCGACAACGTGTTTTCTAGTAAATTATTAATAAACTGAAAGTACATTCTCCTGGCCTTGCTCAATCTCTTCTTTCCTTGGTCCATAAATTACATTAATGTATTTAAATAATTTATGTTTAGGTTTATTATTAATAAATGTGGTTTTGGTCTTTGAAAGTAAAGCCCGTTTAAGATCTAGTTAAATATCTGTTCCATATCGTTTTGTATTTGAATTTATGAAGTGTTGTTAACTATTTCAAGTATTATCACCTCCTTCAGTATTGTAAAGCGTATTTACTTTGGATAATGGTTCCATTTCAAATTATGATTTGATTTGTGCCGTGTTGTTACCGTAGAAGCAAATATCACATTTATAAATAACTGTTTGTTTGTATTTTGTTTTAATGCTGTTTTAATACATTTGCATTTAAATGCCATTCCCTTTCTGTACGCCTAATGCATTCTGGGCAACAATCAAACCACGCTGGCAAGCTTTACAGTATATGCCGTGTATGCCATAAGAAGAAGTTTATTAAAATTATTAAACAATTTTGTACAATTGCCTACATCTACATCAATTAAAATTCCGTTGTTAAGTAAAATCGTTAAAAAATCCTTGCCACAAAAATACCACAAACATGTAAAGTTTACGTCCGAGAAAAAAATTCACAATGTTTGATAATATGAATGGCGCGCGCGCACGTTATCGCGCGCAATCGAACACAATAACTGAATTCACGTTTACATTCTTGGCCAATTACCTACTTGAGCAACTTCCTCCGACTATAGTGCCGTAAAACGGTCCACTGATTCATATAAAAGTCAATTTGATCATCAAAAGTGACCACTTATTGCAATAGATATATAGTTCACTTTGTGTATACCCAATCTAATATTAACGTTATTGTGTCCACTGGTACAGGGTCAAGAGTTAAGGCGTGGTATTTCTACGCGAGCCTACCACATTTTAGGAGATGAGGTGTGGGAGACCGCCTCTCGCATTCCGCAACCCGCGCGCTAAAAATTTATATGAATAAAATAAGAACGTGCGGAGAAAGTTTGTTACAGATCTGACGTCAACAAGCGCCCAATGACGACTGAGTGTAGGTAAATTTAACAACTAATAGGGCTTCAGTTGAAAACCGAAATTTAGTAGGTTCTCTGTAGTATTTAAAGAGAAAAATCTTCATATAAAAATATACAATTCCCCAAAAAAGAATCGGTTACTTTAGTTAAACGAAATCATGGTACTATAGCATACATAGGACGTAGCTTGGGTAGCATAGCGAGAGGTACTTTATAAATATAAACGACGATCATATCATATATATAATTTTGTACGTGTATTTAATTTGGAAGCTTTGTCCAGAACTCTTAAATGTCTGTTTGACATCAACCCTCTATTATTCTTACAATTCTAAATACAAAACCTATGCTGCCTGTACTACATCCCTCTTCCTCACAACTGAAGGGATGAACATCCCTAGCTAGTGCCCTACCTATGATAGGCAACATTCCTATGTGATCAGCCTTTAATATAGGCTAGCCACACACTGCTCGGAAACTATCACTTGCTAACAAACAAAACCACCGAGAAGGCTGTGGTTTTAATCTGTCAAAAACCTATCTAAAAGGACAGACTAGGACCACATCCTAGTCAAACAATCTAAATATATTTATTAGCTAACATAGCTATTTAGGTATCCTAGCTATAAAACCTTAATTCTTTATTCAAGCTTCCTACCTAACCTAAATCCTATCAGAATCTTTATATTATTCCAAACAAATAACACTCCTCATCGTGCACGCTGTTACGACGACATCACAGGCTTGAGCACCCATCGGGCGTCCACTGAGGAACATCAATATTGACTTCCCAGTTGCCTTAGTCGTCGTCCTGCAGCTATCCACGTTCCACCAAACTTTCTTACTTTCTTTGAACAAATTAAAACAACACGCAAATTATCCTAACAACAACATTTCCTGACACCAATATGTTATGGCGATATATAATATGGAGGATTCCTAATAATTAAACAAATATATTTTCCCTTGAATGCAGACAGTTCCTGTTCATTTGGACGAGTGACCAACAATTATGCATATACACAGGATAATATATCCATAAAATGAAAACAAAAAAGGAGGATAAATATAAACGACGATCATATCATAATTATAACTTTATACGTGTATTTAATTTCCAAGCTTTGTCCAGAACTCTTAGATGTCTGTTTGACATTAACACTCTATTATTCTTACAATTCTAATTACAAAACTTAAGCTGCCTGTACTACAGTACCATGAGTTTGGACTTAGTTCTACGGTTAATATTATGGATATATTCTTTCTTAATGAAATTATGTATATATTTACGGGCATTCAAAATATTCGAGTAAATGTACTGTGATGTCATTGTCTCGTTAACCTCGCAGACCTTATCCCTCAACGCTGAAATGCAGTAATACTCATATTACTGTTTGGCGGCTGATATAGGTAAGGTGGCAGTACTTCCCTGGACGCACTCTTTCACAAGGAGCTGTACTGCTACTAAATAATAATTAATCAATTATTTTTGATTTGCATTGATTCATGGAACTGTTACGGACATATCTGTGATTCCACCGACGAGTCTCTTCGCTTGGTGCGTGGGTTGGTTGATCATGCAACTAGAGGTTGCCCTAGATTGTATATGTCCGTGGTCGAGTGGCTTGCACACCGGTTTTCATGGTGTCGCCATCTCTAAGGTCCCGGGTTCGATCAACGGCCGAGTCAGTGCAGGAAACTAACTTTTCTATATTATCTCGGATCTGGGTGTTTGTGGTACCGTCGTTGTTTCCGATTTCCATAACACAAGTGCTTTAGCTACTTACTTTGGGTTCAGAGAAATTGTGATGTTGTC